GGCGGGGGGGGCGTCGCCACGCGTCGCCACGTCGTCAGCGGCGCCTGACCGTTGGCGCCCTGCACGCGCCCCGCCCACCTCGCTGATTGCCCGCGCGCCCACCAGGCCTAAAATTGGGCGCCGGGCCGGCCCACCTTCTCTCACGAGCTGCGACCCGCGCGTGCACGGGCCGGCGGTGGGGCAGACACGGGCACTTTGCCTTCGGATGTAGCGGAATGGTATGAAATAAATATGAAATCTGCAAACGGAAAGTGAATATTTTGTTACTAAACCATCACAATAATATAATTCAATTAATCGAATTACTGCAATAAAAACGAGGTAATTTTACACTATTTTCTTTGGGTATCTCAGAAGTATGTACTGTTTTTATATTAATATAAGATAATACATTCACCTGTTTTCATAGTTGTAAATATATACTTTTGTTATTATTTTTATTAACACTCTACAGGAGACGTATTATGTGAAAATAGATCAAACAACAACACAAAATCAAGTTTTGTTTATCATCACAACAAATTACAGACGAATAGTAACATTGCAAAAAATAAAATGTAAAACGTTTTGTAATGCGATGGAGATATTATCTACGTCAAGTCACGAAGGATAAGCGAGTTTCCTGATCGGATGGCTGTCCAGGAAGCCCGGGATCCAACGGCGCCGAGGCCAATTACAATAAACCGTGTGTATTTATATGCATTTTAATTGTCGAAATTCTAGAAAAAAATGCAAACTTCTGATAAAATCGGGCGCAAAACCAGGACCCGCCTTTTGAACGCAACCTGCAGTACAACGCCAGTACGTCCAGTGACACGCCGTAGAAGGCTCAAACAGGTCTAATTGAAAGATTGAATTAAAAGACTGCGTCCTCGGTAGTGTATAGCTTAATCATTAGTATGTGAAAAATGGCATTATGGTTTACGTTATTAAGCATCGAACTATTTCGTCCCTTTTTTGCCAATCCATTTTCTGACTTCATTTCATTTTCATTTGTCATTCTATAATTCCTTAATCATCCTATCCTCACCTACTTAAGTCAGCTTAACTTAAAGTGATGTTAATAATAATGATAATAATAATAATAATAATAATAATAATAATAATAATAATAATAATAATAATAATAATAATAACGCGTGATGGAATATCAATTATCTTCGTCTCTGGTGGTGATTAAATTGCACCTGGACATTGCCAGTAAGGTCATTTCCCGACGCTTTCATGAAAAATAGAATATCTGCGCTAGAAGGTGATGTTAAATATGGGTTAACATTGGACAAATCCGTGCTTTGGCATAATTATAAAATTATGTGAGTGTAGAGTTATACGCAATTACGTCGCATTAAGCAACTGTTCTGCCTGAAGAATAATATTGATGTAATATCATCCAAACATGCAGCCTAATGGTTGCTAATTTTGCACTCCAGTCGTAAATCCACAACTTTCACTCCCACCTCATAAATGTTACTCCTCAGTTTATATTCATATGGTTAGGTGGAACAGCTGGCTCTATAGTCTGGGCTCCACAAAAAACTATTATTATTATTATTATTATTATTATTATTATTATTATTATTATTATTATTATTATTATTATTCCTCTAATTCACGGTGTTATGAGTCGATTTATTATGTCTTCTACGATTTGGAATCAGCTTCTTAAGGAAGTGGTCAAGGGACGATCGGCGCCTGCGCAAAGTGTGGGCTGCTCCCAATAAAGCAATGTCTTGCACTTCCTGGTCTTTCGAATGACTTGGGTGTTTATCCAAATTCTTACACAAATTGTGAGAAACAAATCCCTAATCTCTGAAAGCTATTGGGACGTCCTGTGATTATACGCACACATTCGACCGAATTCGATTTCCAAACGCTTATATTTAACGTTTCTCTGTCTCCTTGATTACGACGTTTTGTTCTCACGGCACAATAACATTACAAGTAGACAGGATTTTCTCTCCAAATCACGGGTGATTTATTGTTATCATTATCCCACCCCCCGACCACGAGCTCCAAATCTCGCCGATGTTCTTGCCATCTTCTCCGCCCGCGAGGCGCCTTGACGCGGTCGGAAGACATTCGCGCACGCGTCCGTGGCCTCTGCTCCGCCAATCAAACCGTCGTCCATCCTGGTTAAAGAGCCAGCCGCTGGCTGTTGGCACTCCACTGCACCACGCGAGCTGCGAACCCGGAACGCCGGTTCTCCGGATCAAACCAGAACGTTGAGTTGAGAACGAACCATGGTAGGCTGTTCAAGTGTTGACAGACCACTGTAACAAGCATGCATGTAGGTGGCATTCGGGGATCATGGCTGCGAATTTTGCAGAGGTCTGCGTAATTGCTGATGGTAAATAGATTGTTGTGATCCCATGCTCGAGGAGGAATATGAAATTTTCGCCACATTATGCACTTTGCCCTCTGGAGTAAACTGCAAACACAATCACAGCGAAGAGAATGTCTCAGTTAAAAACGACTTCTCAAGGGTGAATTTAAAACTGTATAGCGACATTACCTATCATCTCGTATCTCATAATGACGAAGGCATGAAATAATGAAGCTTTTACCTACACGACCCTCGTGGGCTTCTTTACGTCAACAACTCGTTAAAAACACAAAATTGGTTAGTTGAAACTTTCTTGCAAATGACGCAAAATATCACCTTCGTTTTGTGAGAAATGTAACACATTTAATAGTTACTTTTATTCTGTTAATTTTCACATCTACATTCTTAAGTTACAGTAACATAAAATCTTGTAGTTACTGAAATTGAATTTTATCAAAGGAAATGAATTTTCATTATTTTTGTTGCCTCTCGTAAGTTTCTCAATTTCACTAACTTTTACTTCCCCGTTTAGTCTTTTGAATCTGGTCAGACACAATCATTTCCAATGTGAAATATTAAAAGAAATAATAAAGAGATACTATGATGCTTCTTTCACTTCCATATTTCATTCTGTAACTTCACCAAAGTTTTAGTGAGAAGTTTTAATTATTTTCAGTGATAATTGAATAACTCGACTTAGTTATTGAATCTCTGATTAGCTTCAGAAAATGCTTTTAGCAATTCCTGAACAATTGTTGCGACTTTTTCCCTTACAGGTAACAAATTCTGAACACAACACAACCGATAGTGTGGTTCAACAAATCTGTATCTTTTCCAGAAAATTGTTGATACAACAGATTCTTATATTTTTTCTTAATTTCTTTATAGAATTAGTAAGTCGATCACAACCATACCAACCGGATCATTGGTCTTATAATTTTAAGGCAATTGGACAATAATACAGTAGGAAAAATAATTTAGCAACGTTTTGAATTTTTTCTCGCTGCGTTTCTGTTCTTAGTACCATTCCTTAATCAATCATCCATTTAACTACCATAATCGTCATGAGACGTGACATATTCAATGCCAGTCTGACGAATACAAATTGATGGGGTGCGAAGTACGGGGCTACACTTTCCGGCAACTGAAAACTTCTACTGCAAAACTCGACATTCTCCGTGACAATATGACATAAAACAAGTGTTTATGACCTTTGGAGTAGTTGCAAGACGTTGTAATAAACGTTTAAGAACATCAAGTAATTTGCTTAATGTTGCTTTAAATTTTCTTCATTCAAATCAAGTAATTTCCTTCATGTTTCAGTGATGAACCATCCCAAAGTAATAATTTTCATTTGCCTGTCTGAATCTGCTTTATGTCACACACAATGCTACACACAATGAACTGCCTCATTTAAGATATCCAATCATCTTCCATATATTTGTGTTGGATAATTTCATTCAATACACTTTGAAAACTGCTGGTCCTGCTGTACCTACTTGCGTAAACACGAACTGTGTAGCGGGTTGCGGTGTCAATATTTGGCAAATGGCTAAGCTCAGCAATTATACTCAAATTTGATCCAGATTTAAACATGTTAATCTCATCCTCGTATATGATTTTATTAGAAATGTATTCCCTTCAAACGTAGATTGACATATCGTGGGACAAGAATAGTCACAAATTTCAAGGTCCAATAAAGAGATGTTTTTAAACGATTTACTGCATTTCGACAGTTCGGGCGACACCGCGTCGAAGGCTGAGGTGCTGGCAAGTGATTGAGCCTCACCCGGGCAACCCAGATCATTACTGTCCGCGAATGCGTACATCACCATTTCCTGTATTTGTGATAATAATATGATTTAAAGAAATCGCATATATTGCCCTTGATCACAGGTTCAGGTAAATAAATGAAGAATGTCTGATTACTTATCTACTAAGTACTCTTAATAAAACCTTGAATTCTGTATCGTCATGCGACCTTCAGGTCCTTGGGACACACGCACACCCTCCTCTCCAGAACGGCGCCCCGCCGGGGGGCTGCATGTGGCCGCACTCCTTGTGCCGCGAAGCGCGTCTCCCGCGACCCACCCGACGCGGCGCCTCGGGCTGCAGGCGGCGACGTCGCCAAAAAACGCGGCCCGCCTGCGCCTGCCGGGCCACCCGGGCGTCGCCTTATCTGCGGAATGCGCCTGCAGGCTGCAGGCGGCGCGCGAAGGCGCGGGAGACCCGACTCCCACGCGCTGCGGCCCCGCCCCTTTCATCACCCGGCTCTTCTTTCTCCTCTCCTTCCTCTCACCCTACCCTTCCCTCTCTAACCCACTCTTTCTCCCCCTCCCTTCACGCACTCCGCTTCATCTTTCCTCTTCACCTACCCCTTATCCTCTTTCTTCTCTCTCTCCACCCTCCTACCTTCCCCTCCTCTTCCCTCCTCCCAACCCCTTCTCCTTTTTTCCTTCCTTCCCTCCTTCCTGAGTACCGATACCCTGGAGATCCCCATACACAGATTTTCAAATGGAAATATCTAAGTGTATAGGCTTACGTTATTTAGATTTAACAGACCATGAAACAATATTCTGGGACAAACGTGCGCAGTATACGTTGTTCACAGCTGGCGTAATAAAGAAAACTACAGATGAATTACATTTCTTTCTTCTTATATTACTTGCGATGCCAGATGCGTAGTGGGAATAATGGTATGAGATTTGATTAATATTTTTTTGAAGTATCTACTATATTTTAACATGTAGGATGACATTTATTACATAAATATACTTTATCCTCTGAATATAATTTCAGTGCATGAAAACGGTCAATGAAATACCATAAAATAATCAATTGTAAATATAAATTCTTAAAATTCAGCAGAGGTGGTGCGACTGCGCTTAACCTTTGCCTACGAGCGATATCTACATTCAACTCGATTGATGCTTAAGGACGACGCATGAGGTTAAGGTTGGATTTAACCTACAGCAATTAGCCAATCACATCACATAACTTTCCTTTATGTAATCCTCAAGGAAATACCATCTCTATCAGTGTATTCACGCTGTGTTGCACCCCATTCACACGCAAAAATTAAAAACAAATATCCATTTCATGTATTCCTTAAATTGTACCCCGAAATGGAATTAACTTATAGAAACTCATAGAAATGGAATGCCTTAATACGTTTCTTCACTCAATATATTAGCAGTAATAAATTAGTTATTTTTTAAGCCACCTGGGCATGTGACCAAGTTGTAATAGCTGAACCATGTAATCCTCTTGAAATGAAACAATAAAAAAGGTTAGTTGGCTCACCTGCCCTGTCACAGTACGTGGGTTTAAATCCCAGTCGACTCAAATGGAATTTTGTGGTGGATCTAAGGAGTTCTCAGCAGATTTTCTGAGACACCTCCATTGCTCTCTCAGCATTCACATCAAATCATTACTCAGTCCACTAATCATAGGCCTTGTATATTATCATAATGATACATTTGTACATTGACGAAAACATTTGTACTTGATACGGGAACATTGTTACATTAGCTGGCGGCATACATGTACTAAAACTCTAGTTGCATGAAGTTCACTCAGGCGAAATCACACTAGAATACGACAAACGACCTGCAATGAACTCCCTCAATTACAGATCAGCACTAGAGCAACTTGTAACAAGAAGTAATGATGTAGCGTGACATTTCATTTATGAAGTGCATTACGCAATGCACCATCCATTTTTGTTTCACTGCATTTTAAAGCGGTCAGTGGACATTCGCCTCTTACTCTTAGTGCACGTAGTTTCATTTGCGGCCAGGGCCTTCTTGTTGAGTGCATTTCTTTAAAAACCTTATCGGTTTCACAGCTCAGTCTGTATGAGGTTCATAAAGCCAAAAGGAGGGTACTCGTAGCTGGGTATAAAATGCTGATGATTGCTACAGAGGTAGTGGAGAAGACAGAGGCAGCGAACCTGGCAGAACCTCACACCTTTTGCTTAATCGGAAGTATCACTTGACGCGGATAGCAGTGTGTCTGAAGAAACTGATGTGTTTTCTTTGAATTGCATAACTCTCGTAGGGGCTGATCTAAGCATTTTGTTCGGTGGTATCACAACTTCGCTGTGGGACAATTTAATAATATTTAATCATTTCTTCATGCTATGAAAACATTACTCTTTCTAAATTATTCCTGATTCAATCACGTAAGTGTAAATATTTGTATGTTGCTTTTTGTGTTGTAAAATAATGTACTTTCTCGCATGTGGATTTTGGAAAATAATTACCGACAGTCAAATTACTTGTTTTGTTTTCCTCGAAGCGTTATGAGAAATATCAATAGATTCTATGCAGAAATTTTGAATCAGCACTTATCAATATGTATGCTATAACAACAGTATGCATTACTATTGTATTTTCTTATGTAGATGATTATTTTTCAACCCCCCCCATTACGTAGATAATTGGTTCAGCTTTTCAGTTTACTATAACATGGGCTGGTACCATGGCACTGCCAGCTTTCTCCTTGTGCTCACATTCAAAACTGAAAGTTGTCGACACAAATCCTCAAGTACAGTTAAGTAATACTTGGATTTTCTGACATTATCAAATGCATTAAAACGTTTTTGGGACGTGATCTTCCCTCTGCCTTCCGAGCATCAGAAGCTATGCGCATAACACTTTACGCAGGATTTGTACCTATAACTCCAAACTGCTGATTGCTATCCCCGTTGATCTGCCCAGATCTGCTCCTGTCCGTCCGAAAGGTATTTTTCTCGAAGCGTGCACCTCTCTTCTTGCCATTTGGTTCGCTGGTTGGACCGTCCGACCGGCCGGCCGAGTCTACGTCCACAGCCTCATGCAATTCAGCCAATTGCGCTGTGGCGATTGCCCTCCTCAACGCGCTTCGCTGACGCCCCGATATTTAACCGACCATCAACACTGTCGTCCGTTGACTGCGATCTTTCGGGTAGAGGCAGCGGAGGGACGAAAACTAAGGCATAGGTTTACTACAAGCGCTTTCTTATTTTGAAAACTTCTAATTCATACTCGACATCCTTTTATTGTCAATTACATCCGGGGCTATTATATGTTACTTTCGATAATTATTCTTGCTGAAGGGACATTACAAGTCTCTGCCACCTCCAAATTGGTAATGAAGTGATGATGAAAAATAGAACACCTCAAGAATACTTATGTCTGTACCTCCTGGTCATGAACACTCAAGTCTCACGATTTACAACGAAGCCTAAAACGAATTGTTATTTGGAGTAGGAGTGTTATCCAAAACATGAAGCAAATATCTTGGTACGAACTACACATCTTTTCATAGACCATGTGCACCCACACGTTTTATGATATTCGTTAATTCTATGCGACATATTTCCATATATTTAATATTTGTTTTCACATAGCTTTATTTCAGACACACAGTTATTTTATTATTATAAAACGAAAAGATTTACTAAGATTTATCATTTTCTTTATTACTTTCCTTTCTTCCATAGTATGTAGTACCCTATATAAATAAATATACAAAATAAAATATATCAGTAGTTACAAACCTACTTCACACCATTGTACTTTCCAATGCTACATAAATGCAAAATCTCGAATATCTTCAAAGTAAAGGGCTTGATATTGGATATCATAACAAAAAAACTAAATAAATCTTTTCGTATGCGTCTTACATACATTTAAATCTTCCTTTTTAATATTTCACGCGTAATTCCTAAACAAATAGTCGGATTGAAGCCTGGTTTGTCCATTGACTTTCTCGTGGTGAACTGTACCCACATACGGTTTTTTTCCAATTGTTTCACTAAATTTCTGAAATCGGGCACAATATTGTTAAACGCGAAATTATTAAAAAAATAGTCTGTTGTAAGTCTGGTTTGCTCCATTAAATTTCTCGTAACGAGCTGTTCCCACATACGTGATTCCAGAGAGAAGCGACGAAATAAGTTTTTTTTTCCAATTTTTTCACTAAATTTCTGAATTCGAGAACAATATTGTTTCACGCGTAATTATTAAACAAATAGTCTGATGTAAGTCTGGTTTGCTCCATTAAATTTCTCGTAAAGAGCTGTACTCACATATGTGACTCCAGAGAGAAGCGACGAAATAAGTTTTATTTCCGAATTTTTCACTAAATGTCTGAATTCGGGCACAATATTGTTTCACGCGTAATTCCTAAATTAATAGTCAAATTGAAGCCTGGTTTCACACAGTGAATTCCTCGTAGTGAGCTGTATCCACATACGTGATTTCTGAGAGAAGCGATGAAATTAATTTTTTATCCTAATTTTTCACAAAATCTGAATTCGGGCACAATGTTGTTTCACGCGTAAATATTAAACCAATAGTCTGATTTAAGTCAGGTTTGCTCCATTGAAATTAACGGGGTGAGCTGTCCCCAAATACGTGATTTCAGATAGATACTCCGAAATTAGCTTTTTCCAATTTTTTGCCCTGATTTCGGGATTTGGCTTCATTTAATGTCAAGCGTGTAATTTCGAAACTAGTAGTCGTATTGACGTCTGCTTTGCACCATTAAATTTCTCGTTAAGAGTTGTACTTATATACGTGATATCAGATAGATACTACGAAATTAGGTTTTTTCTCATTTTTTGCCCCAAATTCGGGATATGGGCTTTATTTTTTTCACGCGGGTAATTTCAAAACTAATAGTCGGATTGACGTCAGCGTTGTACCATTGAATCATTGAAGCTTTGCACCATCGTTAAGAGTTGTACATATATACGTGATTTCAGATAGATACTACGAAATTAATTTTTTTCGCATTTTTTGCCCCAATTTCGTGATTCGGCTTCATTTAATTTCAAGCGTGTAATTTCGAAACTAACAGTCGTATTGACGTCTGATTTGCACCATAGACTTTCTCGTCAAGAGTTGTATTTATATACGTGATTTCAGGTTGATACTCCGAAATTAGGTTTTTTCCCATTTATTGTCCCGATTTCGGGATTTGGCTTCATTTGATTCCAAGCGTTTAATTTCGAAACTAATAGTCGGATTTTGCTTTACGCCACTGAATTTCGTGTAGTGAGCTGTACCTACATACGTGATTTTAGTGAGAAGTATCGAAATAAGTCTTTTTCCGATTTTTACACTAAATTTCTGAATTCGGGCACAATATTGTTTCACGAGTGATTCCTAAGTTAATAGTCGGATTGAAGCCTGGTTTGCACCATTGAATTTCTCCTAGTGAGCTGTACCCACATACTTGATTTTAGAGAGAAGCAAGGAAGTTAATTTTTTTCCTACATTTCACTAACATTCTGAATTCGGACACTATATTTTTTCTAGCGTGATTTTAAAATTAATAGTCGTATTGAAGCCTGGTTTGCACCGTTGAATTTCTTGTGGTGAGCTGTACCCACATACGTTATTTCAGTGAGAAACGACGATTTTTCCCCCAATTTTTTCTCTATTTTTTTAAATTTGGGCACAATTTTTATCACGCGTTTTTCTAGTATTATTATCTTTATATTATTCTTCTATTAAGAAAGCATTGCAATGTATTCTAATTAAAGTACGATATGCATAATTTTTTAATTTGGGATAATATTCTAATTAGGAGTGAGAATGTATGCTGAGCTCAAAATGGCAAACTAATGGTTACATAGGCAGGCCATCTGTTAAGTAGGCTGCTAAGTAAACAACATTAAGATGGCTCTTAGACAGAAGTTAGAGAATGCTGCACGAATTCTTAAAATAGGAAAGATGGTTTAACTAAATAAATATTGTGCTTGTCATGAGACTTAATTATTGGACTTGCGTATGCCTGACCACTCGCAAAAGTTGTGCATGTCAATAATTTATTGCTATAAAATATATTGATGTCGTTCATAAAACTTTCAATGTATACCCAATATGTATTACTTCATTACAAATGTCTTCATGAAATTCATGAATTTTATTTTCTAGACGATCTATTGCATTCATTGGCATCGCAGGGACAAAAAACATTTTACTTGTGAAAACAAATTCATCGGAAACTCTTTACAAAGGTGCTTTGATCTTCTCAAATAATAACAATTTGTTTTTTAAAATAATTTTATTCCATGTAATTGTTTCATGTTTTAATTTCTTGTACGGAAATTTTCGTTTCTCTTTCTAATGTTCTTATTTGTAATGCATTGTGAGACATGGACGAACTTTTGTGTAGTATTATATATTTGTACATATTTCAAATGTATTTATCTAGATTAGAGTGAGAATTCTGAATTGAAGATAAGAGTGATTAAAATTTTCCGTCTTTAAATAATTATCATAGGTTAGTATTTACCTTGATAATTCAGAAGAAAGCTATTTTGATGAGCTTCATTGCAAAGATTATTTCTGAATATTCGTTGTGGGTGTGCCGTTTGATTTGAGAGGCTTCAATTTACAATCTAAGTACCTCTCAGTCATCGATAGTGAGAGAACTTTCATCATTTCTTACATTTGTATGTCGACATTTCTCACTGGATTCGTACAGATTTTGTATGGCGCTAACTTCTAAAGTTAATTTTTACCGACTTAACGTTGACTTCGTCAATTTAGCTTTATTCGTTCGTTGTTTGTGTAGTTGATGTAAGTACGTAATCAGTGATGTACATTTTTATTCATGTTTCATGGTTGACTGAAACTACCTTTGCCACGTCTGTGTCTTCATTACATAATTTTGCTCCTTTTCCAAATTCTGATTTGTAAGTGTCGAGTTTTAATTGCAAGAGTGCTGATAAAATAGTTATAATCAACGATTTTCCATTGAATTCCGTCACCTATTTAGTTAACTAATAAAATAATAATACTTGTAGCTCAAATTCTTTTTGATATTTTTTTAAATTTAATTTTATATTTGTCTGATAATTCTATGCAAATTATATTTCATCTCTGGCCAATATTAAAAGACAATTGTATTTATCTCCTCTGTTCATTTCTTTTTACGGTGAAGTATTAGAATATCTTGTAATGTTTTAATTAGATTTCTTTGTCCATATCTATTTTAGACAGTCATATATCATACGTTTAAAATCCATATGGTTAATAAAAATCCATTATTTAGATTTGGATATTCATTGATATGTATTAGTTATACTCTCAGAAGCTTTACTATTTCTCAACGTTTCGAGGAACAGTTTTTCTCTTCTACAGGACTATTTAAATACACAGAAATCTTATAAGCTCAATTACAATTTGTCTAACATTTAAAAGTAAGGTAAAAACAATTAACTAAAGTAAATTACATTTTTACTCTTATAAATTTTAGGTAAAATAAGTTGATGTAGATTCTGATAATTACGTACCATGTACAACTGATCTCACCTCCAAAAACTGTTATTCCTTCTTATAATCTATTTGTAATTTTTGCAAAAATATCGTATTTTTGAAGACGCAAACCCTCAACGACACCCTCCATGGTGTCGGAGGTCATACTGAGCAGAAGAATGGAGGTTGGGACCAACTGGTAGATATTTGAAAGTTCAGATTTGAATGTGAATGCGTTGCGTGTCCGCTGCGTGTGCGCAGGCTGTGGGCTGCGACGGCGTGGTGGGGTCGGCGCGCCGGCCCGACGCGTGCGGCGTGTGCGGCGGCGACAACTCCACGTGCCGCCTGGTGTCCGGGCTGTTCACGCGGCCGTCGCTGCCGCGCGTGGGCTACCACCTCATCGCCACGCTACCCCGCGGCGCCTGCAACGTCTCCGTCACCGAGCTCAAGCACTCGCGCAACTTCCTCGGTGAGTGCGCGCCCTTCATTCAGTCATTCAGTGTTTGATTCCGGGATGGCATTATTCCCGTAAGTGTGGTGCTCGGGAGGTGGCGGTTTTTTCCCCGCACTGGATGGTGAGATGAGGCGCCGACCTTCAGGCGACTGGCGGGGATTTCCCCCCAAAACATTCCTCCCACCTGCCGGACGCCGCCCCGGCTCTAAGCTCCCGCCCGGTCTCCCCGGCATGTGTGGTAGAGTTGTGCATGTTAGTGTAAGGGGTGAGGATAGGACAAGGAAGAAGAAGGGAAGATAGCTCTCGTCCGTGGCCCGTTTTTTAGAGTACTGCTCCGACATTCGCCTGGTATTGATCGGAGAAACCACGGAAAACTGCCGAACAGAGCTGGCGGCCGCTAGAATTCTCCTCCAGACTGCGGCTGAGTTCGACCTAGCTGTATGTAGATAGTGTCGAAGAGCTCGACACCGTTCGAATTCGAACCCTACGACCTCCCTGCAGAAGAACTGCAGTGACATCAATCGCTGCCCTGAGCGACCTACGCCAGTACATTTGTTGGGCATCTTGACTGGCTCATTTTATTATACTAATCTCATAGTTATGCACTGTTACATAAAAGTCAGTAGTAGTTGGTGAGGTAAGACGAAAATATTTTTTCTTTGTTCAATTTACAGTATTATCTCAACATTTGATCAACATCTCGGATTTAAGTCTCGCTACTAAGGCTAAAAATTGAACTTTATTATTGAAAATTTGAACAGTCACTTTGTTGATTGATAACGTTTATAAAACCGACGCCGAAACAGATGGCCAACGGGGAAATGAAATCAGTTTTTGATACCCTGTGCGTAAAAGATTTTGGAATAGAACATAATTTTTTGAAATCTCAATAAGTGTTGTATCTAAATATTATTCATTCAGATAATTTTATGTTATCTTCGACAATATCAATGAGCACTTGTATCATTAAGAAAATAAGTTCAGTCATGTTCTTAAGATAAATACAGAAACTAATGATTAAAATTTGAGCTTTCTCACGTTCCGTGAGGAAGTACATTCACATTTTGATTGAAGTTCAACCTTACGGAAATGTGAATCTTCTGAAAATGGAACAGCTTCTTTGCACAAATGCATTCTCCTCTTCAAGAGTTTTGCTGTATTGCGCTTGATCTCAACTGATGTCGCGTGCATCGCCTGCAATGGTTCAGCGGTAACAGTTCTTGTGTTGTGACGTTGATCGGAGGGTCCAAGGCTGTAATTTTGGATTGTGATACCTTGGTCGAATTCGGGCTCTACCTGGATGAGAATTTTAGCGAATGTCGGCTCTTAAGGTTTTCTGTTTTTTCTTATCAATACTAGGCGAATATCGAAGCATTGTCTTAAAAAACGAGCCAAGCCCCGCGCGCAATATTTTTTTCATTACCTTGTCCTCTGCTCTCTTCTCCCCTTACGTACACACTTAAACACAAGAATTAAACTACACATGTCGGGAGACCGGAGCTTAGGTCCCAGGCTAGAGTGGAGCTTCCCCTCCCAGGAGGAGATACCAGCAGGTGGGTTTTCCCAATCCCACGTATGAGTGTCAAATTTCAGTAGGAGAAGAACACGACCTTCTTGTGGGATTTAACACGCCCTACGTATAAGGGACAAACATTAGTTACGGGACAATGAGTAACCAGTGAAAGGTGTGTTTTGCCAAGAGGGGACAAATGGTCATAAATACCTTGGATAAATTGTATTTTTGGTCATTAAACATGTTAAAAATAATACAGCTACTGCATTTCATAGCAATCTGCAGCCGACCTGGATGGTCGTGGCTAGAGCGTGTGCCGACTTAGCCCCGAGGCTGAGAAGCCCGCAAGAGCGTCAGTGCCCAGTGTAAAGTCAATGCGTCCGCGTAAAGGACGTAGCGGGCGCCCGGCGCGGAGAATCGAAAATCGGCATCCCCCGAAGCTGGAAAACGCCCCCCCCCAAAAAAAAATGTTCATAGCAATCTGCCCTAATAGATTATATTGGGTTTACGCTTTCAGTAATCTCATAACCTTGGTTAAGCGGCGTTCTTCATTAGCATCCAATTTTTGCCTGAACCGCCAGCGACTGCTCGAGTCAATGTTCGACTGTTACACTTCGATTTAAACATAGTGTGTTGGCGTAAATCGCGCTGTTACGTTGTCGTATAATCGGGAGCTTGGATGTACAGTAGTGACGTTTAAGCTCCCGATTGGATGACACCGTAGCAGCTGATCAATGGTCAACGGCCTCTGTAAACAAACCGAAGTCTAGTTGACGCCCAGAAGCCACCGAATCCTGAGTGAGGGAGTCGGGCGTGTTGCAGCGCTGCGCCGCCAGGACGGCAGCTACGTCATCAACGGCAACTGGGGCATCTCGTGGTCGGGCGAGTACGAGGCGGCCGGCACGCGCGTCACCTACCGGCGCCAGGACGCCGGCCTGCTGGAGACGGTGACGGCTCCGGGCCCGCTCACCGAGCCGCTCGATATCATGGTGAGCCACAGCGCGGCTCGGCGACTGGCCGAGACAGAGCGACTGTAAATGCCTTAAAAGAGAATGACTGAGGCACAGGTCTTTTGCGGCAAGCAGCTAAAGCAAATGGATAAACAGAACACATGTGGAATGCGCTGTATAGAGAGTGGAATTCAAAACGTGGTAGGCATTATGGGTAGCCCGTACTACCCAGCGTGTGAGATTTTTCACTCGCTAAAACATCTCTCCGTGGAACCGCCTACAGCCTTTACATTGCGGAGTGTGGAATAGTGACCCAGTCGCATGAAGTTAGTTGACTGAGGGATCAAAGATATCCCGTGTTTCAGTTAAGTTAGTTAAGCAAAAAAATCCCTGCCCTTCGACCTCCGTATTTAACTTTGAACATATTAAAGTCCGGAAAAAAATTATTTCCAACGCATTTGACACCAAAATATAGAATCAGATATCCTAAATCAATTCCCTCGCGTAGCTCTCAAAGTAATGAATTAACTAATGATTAGGTATACGCATTCCACACGTTTTTCATTTATCTACATACTTCAGCTGTTTGTCAAAAAATACTCCAAACCAATATTTTGTGAACAGGATAATATGAATCGTAATTAAGATTTGCAATATGTTGTACGACACATTGAATCATTAAATTTATGTCGGGTTTGTATTAATCTAAATGTTTAAATTATTAAGCCAAATTTTGAGAATTCGAACTTATCTTAGTGTTGTATATTAACAAGAATGTTCCCATTGCTTAACGAATATTCTTCAGAAACAGGTAACTTAGGGCCTCCGCGCTGGGGGCTCATAGTATAATAGTCAGCGCGTAGATCCTTCGGCGTTGGGGTTCCGGTTCGTTCCCTGGACAAACCCTGTTAAATTTCTAGTGTGCAAAGCAAACTCCCTGCAAGTTTTCTCAAGGTTCTCTCATTTCCCTTGCCTCTCTCGTTCCATCTTTCTTCATTCATAACTCATCTCATCGTAGTTTTTGTTATAATCTACTTTTCAGATCTCCACTCTCACTGACCAGATCAGTTAAGCGTTCCTAAACCTCAGTAAATAAACTGACAGCGGTGTTACTTTGTTCCAACAAAACCACATCAAAGCTACGCCTGCTACAAGCTGATTGCTTTGGTATCTAGAACTGGTGATTGCACATGCCTCACCACTCGTGAAGCAAGTCTAGAGCTCGATTTGTTGAGATAACGGTACTGATTTTGTCTGACAAATAACTCTTTGATTTCAGTTATTTATGTAGAGGATATACTTTAACATTTCCCCTAAAGACACATAAAATTAAATATGTGTGCTCTCATTGTCCAAAAAGATGGAGACGAATTTTCTATCTTGAAATTTCATTGTACATTTATCCCTTGGCAGCAGAAAGCAAAAATACGCCAGGGACACCCCTGCAATCTCTGGGTTCCCTACCTCCGCCGCACAAATTGTTCCTGCGAAGTAATCACCATTAATTCGGTCATCATCATTAGACTTATTCATGGCGAGGGGCTTGTCGTAGAGTAATGAGCTCATTTTTGCCGGTACAAGAAAGGCGTGTCGACCAGAGAGGAAGGAGCATCGCGGCCCACCGTTTCATATCCCTTCCCCTTCCCCTTCCCCTTCCCCATCCCTGACGTAAGCTGCCAACTTTCGAGACAGAACCCTCAAAACTGGAGGACCTTTTTGCAAGAAAATAAGAAATGTGTGTCTAGAAGCACCTGATTAAGATTTTCCAACATTCATATGTAGATACGAGAGTGGAATAATCGCTGCTTAAATTAAAAATAATGACATTCGTAATGTGTTTTTTTTTTTCAATTTTATTGAATTAAATATTACATGTTTAAAGCTCACGTATTATCACTAGGGTTTGAAAAATAAGCGAATTTGCATTGTTTGGTTAAAAAGCCGTAATAAGACATATTCGACTAATTCTATTTCCAGTGGCATTTTGGAGCAATAATGTTACAATAGACATTAACTACTCTTCAAACGTGTTTATCGTATTTTTACGAATAGAATGCTATTGTTGATACATAGTCGCTTTAATGTTTATTCTGCTGCTTTATAATTTATTCTATTGCTTCCGCAAATGACTGGTTCTTAAGAAGAATTTCTTTGTTACTGATTTTGTCTCGTTTCTAGATATTTTTAAGTGATTAATAACTGATTAAATATTAGAATATTGTAATATATGTAGGAATGTTGTTCATTAAAATTGTTCATATGTTAAAGTTCGACAACATATTTTACTTAAGAAAGCATCCCTCGTGCGTGCGCCAGTCTTTGTAGAAGTAACAAGAGCCATCTTTTCTCCTTTTCTCCCTAACTCACTCCGCTCGACTCCCTTTGCCCATTGTAGATCCTAATTAACGTGGGAAAGCCGGAGGCAAAGAGAACGAGCTTCAATTGTTCGTTCGAGGGCGTTGCTCACTGAGTCGCTGGAGGAAATTGATTCGTTGGGTTCCAGACCCAGAGGGAGGTAGATTTCAAAAAGGCAATTTTGTCCTCCTTGGTTCTCCAAAAGGGTTTTTATTTCTGAGTTCTGTTATTGATGGAAATTCAACAATTGAACGTTTTCGTTTCGTGATGAATTTTCAAAGATGTATTTTTCCATGCGAATGCATTGAAAAATTAAATGCCTACAATAGTAATAATGAATCTAAGAATACAAATCAGCCTCAAAAGAGAGAAAATATAAAATGCCTAGAAAATTATCACAATGAAAACATGTAGTTTAAAAATTCCTGTTCCTAGAATTTGATTATTGAACTGTGAATTAACTTCGGGGGAATAAGGAATTTCATAGATCTTTTCATTTAGAACTATATCATTCGTTGCTGAAAAGTAGAAATGTTTTTCACGTATGACATTTCCATTCTTGCAGTAGTAATTTCGTACTTACACTTCAATTCTTAATTTAGCGGAAAGTGATTGATATCCTAGAGTAGAATATCACCAACAGCCCATATCATCAGCCCATATGCGTAGCTAAAATTGATATCGATGACCTTTTCTTTTTGGGTGCTGTGGAAATCACCGGACACCGTTTCGGCGGTTGGCCCGGCGCAGCGTTCCCAGCCCTCTCGCCAGGGAGCGCAACCGCATGTCGCGGGGGGGCGGGGGGGGGG